CGCCCTCTGGGCCGCGTCGCTGCTCCCCGCCACCACAGTGCGGGGCCCCCCCATGCCGCAGAAACTGCGCAGGTGGAAGGGGCTGGAGACCGGCACCGTGGAGACAGCGAAGTCCTAGGGGTGACGGGGAGGTGCTCAGGGCAGGCAGGGCGAGAACGCCCTCGCCCTGCAAGGCTGCCCCCACCAGCAGCCCCCCTCGCCGGTCCCGCTCCTCACCCGGAACGTGTCCGCCACGATCTCCGCCCCCCGGTGGTTGGTCCACTTGGAGAGGCCTACGAAAAACTCCCGGCCTGAGCCCGGAGGCCGCGGGTTGAGGGTGGGGGCGCGGAAACAGGCCCCGGAGGCCCGGGCCCAAGCCCCGCTCCCGTGCCAGGCAGGGCGGCACCCCGGCCTCACCCGTGAAGAGCACGTCTGTGCCGTCCAGCGTCGCGTTCTCGTCCCCCGTCTCCACGACCCGGAGCCCCAGGTCCTGGAGCGCCTTGCGGACGCCATCCACCTTAGGACGAGAGCGGGGGATGGGGCCGAGAACTCCCACCCCCACTCTCCCCTAAGGCCTCGGCTGTCCAGCCCCCCGCAGGCGCTCACCTCCGGCCTGCGGGCAGGACTCCAGGGCCGCGTGATTAGGGCCGTGTCCCCTTGGATCACCGCGGTGTCGCCGAGCAGCGGTCCCAGCGGCAGCGACTCTTCAGGAGGCAGTTCTAGCAGCTGCAGCCCCAACCGCTGCCTCAGTTTACCCCCCAGCACCCCGTGCTCCCTCTGTGCTTTAGCCAGGTCCAGGGCTGGGAGGCCGGCCCCTGCACCCTCCCCCGACGCCAGGCTCTCCGGGACCCCGCGGATCAGGGCGTGGGAGCAGCGACCCAGCCCCTCCCCCGGCGTCCCCATCCCATCCACACGGACGCCCCTCCGGCGGCGCTGACTTCTGAGTTTCCTCCGTTTACTTCACCTGTCTGGAGAAGAGAGAATGGCGGAGAGACAGAGAAAGAGACATGCAGAGAAGGGCGTAGGAAGGAGGTTAAGAACGCGGGGGTCTTCCTTCCAGACCTTCCTCTGCTGCCCACCCCCCTCCACCCGCACCTTCGCGAGTCTGCTTCTTTACCGGGAGTCCGAGGACCAAGACCAGAATCCCCTAATCTCCAAAAACACCTGTTGCCCCTGCTCGGGGGCTTCGCGAGGTTCCTGCCCGGCGCCCCTCTTGGCAGCCGCTAGGATGCGCTCACTCCCCAAAAATGCAGCGGCCCCGCCCCCTTAACCCTCAGCTGCTCCGCGCCTTGCGGACCCGAAGTGCTGCGAGGGGCGCGCGGGGGCTGCGGGACCGGGGGCAGCTGGGGAAGAGCGCCTGGGGAATGGAAGTCGCGGATCCAAACGAGAAGGGGAGGAGCAAGGACGGCGGAACGGAGCCTAAGGAGTTAAGCATCCTTTCCTCCGCAGCCGGCCACTCGGCTCCCAGCGCGACCCAGCGTAAACCGGCCCGAGTCCCGGAGGACTGGGAGAGGTCTAAAACGACATCTGAGGGGCGGGGAGACGGGGGCGTGGTCCTGGGGAGCGGGCGCCACTCCAGGCTCCAGGACCCGGTCCCTTCTCTCCCTTTCTGTCCTCCCCAAAGTCCACCCCATTCAGCTCCGCACTCAAATGTCGGCCCCCGCGCTCTGATTGGTGCAGGCACGGGCCCGGTACCCCCTTGATCCGGCCGCAACACGGTCCAGCGGACACCTCCCTCTCGACTCACCTCCAGCGCTCACCCCCACTCCTGCCGCTCTGTGATCTTGGCCGGGGTCCCAACCCCCGTGAGGACAGAGTTGGTGGAGAAAAGAGTCCTAGTCTTCAAGCCTCGGGGACTGGAGCTTTGGCTCCGAGGAGCCCCTGGGTAGGCGAGGGCAAGTACTACGGTGGGGCAGGGGCGCGACGGTCTGGCGGCTCCAGGGCATTGTCTAAACGGGACAGGGCGGGGCTCCCCCAGGCCACGCCCATTCCGCCCCGCTACGCCGCGCCCACTCCACCAGGACCGTGCGCCCCCCCTTTCCTGAACTTGGCCCCGCCCGTCGCGAGAAGCCCCGGCCCACCCAGATATGGCCGCCCCTTTAGGCTGGGTGGCAAATGCGACATGGACCCACCAGACAGCGCGACGATGGATTGGCAGTAAAAATGGCAAAATCACCACAAGCACCCCTCTTTTAATTCCTGGTTTTTAACCTGAGCTCAAGGTCACTGACCCACCCTTCATTCTGTGATACCCACATTTCAAGCACCCTTTGTGAAAATACAACACTAGATTTTCATTCTGTATTTTATTACTGAAATACATTGTCCTACCAATCCCATCCCACCCCACAATAGAAATCTCACCCAGATCCCCCGTTCCTTCCCTTCATCCTCAAGGCAGTCCTGCACAAGTGCTCCAGAATTCACTTCCCACTGGACATTTTGGAATGTGTCCACTGGGTAGCCAAGTGGAAACCACCCGGGGGCCTTTGTGGAGAAAAATGGAGGAGGGGTGAGGGAGCTGCGGGAGGGGCTTATTTAAGGGCCTTGGCCACTTGCTCATAGGCCAGCTCGATCTCCTCATCATCTGGACAGGTAGAGGCGAACTCTTCCCTCGCATAGGCATTGCGCAAGTACCGATGCACCCCCCGAAACATCTCAGGGATGGAGAATCCACGGTACTTCTTACACACCACCTGGGACACACACACACAAACATATTAGCCTCGGGGAAATCATAGCGGGCTGCCCTGATGTGTTCTTTCTCTTATCCCAAGGCCTACCTGATGAAATCCAGCCTTGTTGTCCAGGCATTCAAGTCTCCACTATCTAGCTTCTCTTCCTATGGTTCTTATCTCTCACATGAGTCATCTTCTCCAATGGGCTTTCTTAACTCTTCACTGTCTTCACCTTTCCTCTCCATTTACTGATAACCAGCCCCTTTTCAGAGCAATTCCAACAGTACTACTTTTCTCCTCTTGGTTTTATTGAGATATAATTCTCAAACCATTAAACTTTTCTCTTGAATTTCCAGAGCAGCTTTTTTCTTTACTTTTCCTTTGGGACAAGGACTCATCATCCAACTCTGCCTTCCACTGCTCAATCCACAGTTCCGTGCAGACTAGCATTGGGCCCATATTACACAAACTAACACCACAGCTTTAAGGCTGGGACAAAAGCCATGGGAAGCAACAGCTTTCATCTTCCACAAGAGGAAGTGGAAACTGAAGCTATGAAGAGTTACAAGTTTTGATTTTAGGAAAAGCCTGCTCTGTCTGAACTGAGGATCTGAGAGTGATAGAGACAGGAAGAACATTCTTGAAAGTAACACTGGGATGTGTTACTCTCAGCCAGCCGGCTTGCACCCACGGCTTGTATCATGGAATTTAATTTTTACAAGCAACGGTCTTGCTAGCCATGATGGCTGAGAAGGAATGGGGTGGAGTCTGCTATCGGTAGCAATCTATAGAAACCACCCTAAGAAAGAAATCACCTTTGGAGTGGTTATCATGAGAAGCCATCCCATTGGCCATCCTCTCCTCCCACAATGACCACCCACCTGTACTATATGGAGCTTTGGCAACAGGTTGCAGTCAGCTAGAGTGAGCTCATTTCCATCCAGAAACTTCCTCTGCGAGATGCCCTCATCCTCAGCACTGGTCTCATCCACTTCTTCTGGGAGGGGGGATGTCAAGTAATTGTCTAAAACTTTCAGGGCTTTCAGGAGCCCCTTCTCCAGATCTGTGCAAGAGACCGGCATTGGCAAGAACATCAGATGACTGACATAGTCCAAGTCCAAGAAGGTCCATGGGACAGGTTGGGGATGAGAGGGTGAATACTAGTGGTGAGGCCAGTCCAAAATAATAACAGCTAATGTAGTTAACTTTCTGTGTTATTGTAAGCACTTTACATGCAAATGCTCATTTAATTCTCACACCAACCTACAAAATAGGTATTGTTATCCTCATCTTACAGACCTGGAAATAGGTTTATAGAGAGGTTAAATGAATTGCTCAAAGTCACACGGCTAGCAGGATCTGTACTCAGGTAGTCTGGATCTAGAGTCAGTGTTCTTAAGCACAACCCTGTTCTGCCAGAAAACAAGTCAGCAGCCAACCCAACTCTAATGCCCCCAGTGGGGCAGAAGAGGCCAGGCAAAAAATGAGAGATGCTCAAGAGTCATGGCCAATGAGAAAGGAAGGAAATATGGGGGTTAAGCAAAAATAAGATTTGCCAACACCTGTTCCATCTCCCTGATATCTGAATTTCCAGGTGCTTCAAATGCCTCCCAACCCCTGGATCTTCTCTATTCCTCCCAGGACCCAGGCCTCTGACGCACAAGACTCACTATCATTGAGTGCTGGGTTTGAGTTCTTGATGTAGGCAGAAAATTTGGCAAATATGTCCAGGCCAGCTGTGTTTGATTCAGGGTTTAGAGCTGCCAGCTTGGGGTACCTGAAAGCCAACGGGAGAAATAAGAAAACATATCTTCCTGGGAGGGGCCTCAGCCACATCACCACCTGTTTTCCATTTCTTCAACCTCTCTTTCTCAGACCCTCCCAGCTCCCCCTTCTTCTTTCCAAATGCCCCAGTACCTGGGAGGGCACAACACTGCCTCCAGAAATTCTTCAATCTTGTTGGTGTCTGTGTGCACTTCGGTGCCATACAGCAGAAAAGGGAGCTGCCCTCCTGGGCACAGCTTCTGTACCGTCTCAGTTCGCCTGTAGGAGAGGCCAGGCATCAGGACAGGAAAAGGGAATCAGGGAGAACCAGAAAAAGGGGACAGAGGGAGGTGGGAAGAGAAGGGGGCTCTTGGTAGAAGGGAAAAAAGTTCAGGATGGAAGACTTGGGTGGCTGACTGTGTGTGTGTGTGTGTGTGCACATGTGTGAGCACAAAGGGTGTTCAGAGGAAGAGAAGAAGGCCCACCTCTTGGTGTCAACGGTGGTCACGTTGAAGGTGACTCCCTTGAGCCAGAGCACCATGAACAGTCTCTGGGAGAAGGGGCAGTTCCCAATCTTGGCTCCATCACTGCCAGCCTGAAAAACAACCCCCACCTCAGGTTAGGCCTGGTGTACACCCCTACCCCCACCCCGGCCATTCTGGGCATTTCCTACTCCCAGACCTAGCTGTTTTCTGCCTAGTCATGATACACACACATACATTCTCTCCACTAAAAGCTCCCCCCACAACTGGGTTCTCCACCCTGGGCTGGGTCAAATCTAGAGTAGATCAGTGGAAACATTTCCTGCAAAGGTTGGCTTCTGGTTCCCCAGATATTTAAAGATAGGTGAGAGGTGGGTAGAGGGAATGGGTTGTGGAGAAGTTAAAAGATCTGGACCCTAGAGAGGTAAGACTAACAGTAGTGTAGTTTTTTCTCTGTGCTATTTTAAGTACTTTATATACAAAAACTCATTTTAATTTTCAGATCAACCCATGAAGTAACCCCAAAAGAGGGTCTTTGGTGAGGCCAGAGTTGCAGGCTAGAGGCCTGGATTCCTGAATGGAGCAGAGCCTGAGGACAATAGAGGTGGGGGCAGGGTTTTAAAGCAGAGTTCTGGTTCTCTATACCTCCACCCAAGCTGTTCCTGGGCAGCTGGATGGGGAATCAAGGGGCTCATAGCCTTGCCCTAGAAATGTAGAGGGCCTTACAGAGGGGGCTGCCCTCTAATTGGCAAGTGGTGACCTCATCCCTCAAGGGGCACCTCCCCCTAGGCTAGGGATGATTCATTTCATTGGTGTCTCCAGCCTCAGCGGCTTCCTTCCTGTCGAGGAGTGGGGGCAGGGCCCTGTGAGGCTGAGGACCCAGTGGTGAAAGCCACCTTCCTCTTCCTGGACATGGCCTGCAGGGTTCTCCCGGCACAAGTCCTCTGCCTCCACATAATTAATCCTCCTCACACAGGACCCAGGGCCAGAATCTCTGCAGGACAGACTCACCCAAGAGTAAAAAAAAAAAAATAGCCCCTGAGGCAGTGTGGGAGTGAGGTGGGGACCACACCTAAGGGGGCGGACCCGGGCACTTCACTGGGTGAAGGGAGAGAGAATGCTGTCGGAGAAGTCAAGTATAAAGAGGGAGAAACAGGCAGGAACACACAAAGACAAGAACAAAAGAAGGGCAGTGGAGAGAAAGAAAGCAGGAAAGTGAGAGGGTGGGGAGAATGGGCAAACAAGAAGGTAGGGGTGACTGCCGAGGGGAAGGAGGGCACAGAGATGAAGTCCAGAGAGGAGGGAGGCACAGCCCTAGTGGGGAAGGGAGCAGGGTGGAAAGAGGGGGAGGAAGGGAGCGCGAGAGAAAGGAAGAGAGAGCGAGAGCAATATCGATTTGTTGTTAGTTATTTATACATTCATTGGTTGATTCTTGTATGTGCCCTGACTGGGATCGAACCTGCAACCTTGGTGTATCCGGACAATGCTCTACCCAAATGCGTACCCGGCCGCATCCGGCCTGCGGTTTTGATACCCAAATGCCACGGGCCCACCTCTCCTCATCCACACCCAGAGAGAGGAGGGCGTTGGGGCAACTCTCTCCTGCCTCTGGAACCCCCAAACCCTACAGCCCCAACGCAGCTCTCCTCCTGATCTCTCGCCCAGCCTTGAGGCAGCCCCAGCTAAGCTCTCATCTCCTGAGCCTCCCTGTCTCTCTCCCCGAGTCCCCAGACCCACTCTCCACCCCTCACCTCTCCAGCCCTGCCTCGAACTCACCCCCACTCTGTCTCCTTCCACCCCACTAATTCCTCCCGGCCGACCTCCTCCCACTCCCAGGCCTCCCCACCACACCCTGGGCCTCGAAGCCTCTCCCCTCCCCCGCAGGCCCCGCACCCGCACGAGCACACACTCCGCGAGCGCCCCCGCCCTCCGGTGCTCCCGGCGCGCTCGACCCCCCGCCTCTCGGTGCCCGAAGCCCGTCCGCGCCCACCCACCGCACCCGGCCCAGGAACCTCCCTTTTCTCTACCTGGCGGCCTTTAGGCAGCTGGGAACTTGCACTTTTACAAACTTTTCAGGGTTGAGCCTAGAACTCCCATCACCCGCGCAGGTCGACTGTCTTCCCCTGGCGAGCCAGCCTCCCCCATCCCAACCACGACGGGGGGGGAGGCCGGGCGGGGCGAGGTGAGCGCTGCCCCTCAGGATCCCAGGGCGGCCGGGTGGAAGCAGGCGCTCTTACCTTCACGAACAGCTCGACCTGCGGCTGCTCTTCAGCCATGGTC